AACGTTACCACGGGCATCTTACCAGTACCCTTAAGTTTGGATAGACACCAGAACAGAAAAAAAAAAGACAACTTATAGTCAGCACACATGTTTGACCATTCTTGGATCGCGGCACATGTGTACTCATCGCCTTTCATATAAGCTATTGTCAATGCATGCGTTGCCACACTTCCATTGCAAAAAATAAAAATAATAATATATACACGTATCTTGCGGTCGTACGTGAAATCTTTGCCATCCGATTAGGCGTACACTGAATCGTGCGGCTAACATGCATCGGTCGTGAGGATCTTCCGGTCGCCTGCAGAGAGTCATGGACAAGTCACGACCCGTGGGTCTCTGCCCTTCCAACTTCCAGTCAAACACGCAAGAAAGAATAGGCAAGAGCAAGAGGTGATGGCCGTGAACCGCGCCGGGGAAACAGGATTCGGGGTGACGGCGCCGGCGTTGCCTGTGCTGCGACTCAGGCTACTCGCACTGCCTGCTTCCGTAGTTGCGAGCAGGGAGTGTGCGGCCCAAGCTGACAAGCTGTGGTAGGCCTCGTTGTGAGGAATCGGGCCCGAGTACAGCCCAACAACGTCTAGTCGATTTGGATGCTTACAGAATCCACTATCACTGAATACAGAATATGTCCTGTCAGTGGTCCAGGGGCGTGTTGGCTTAACTCGACGGTCCGATGCGCCCACGAGCCCAATGGTTAAGTACAGAAAATGACGTAAGACGAGAAGAAACGAGCTCTCAGGTTAACTGGTACACCACTGCACGTGATTAGGCGAAGGTGACACCCCGGACAAGCATGTTTACGCTAGCTAACGCGGCGACGTGTGGCTCTTCCATTAGCGGCGTCGGCGTCGGCGTATCGGCACATGCCCCCCCGGGCCTTCATCTAGGGGCCCCGCCGCCGATCACGGCCCCGGATCGGTGATTAAGGGCCTCTTTGGTTGATGCCAAAGATTTGACGAGCTAAAAGTTAGGTTAAAACATTGCCATAGATTTGACAAACTAAATGTAAGAGTTTGATAAACTTTGGTAACAAACTAAATACTAGTCAAAATTATAGCTCGTCAAATCATTGACATGGCAAAATTAGGAAGGGAACCCATCAGAGCCCAAGAGATCATGTGCTAAAAGTTAGGCCATGCCACAGCACCGTAGGGGACGGGTCGACCGCCATCGGGAGGGAGGAGGCCGCATCCGCCAGAGGGAGGGAGCTCGCCCGCCACGGCGCTCTGGCGCCACGCCCGAGAGGGGAGAGAGAACGGGATTTGCCCGCCTGCGCCGGGGCCGAGCCGAGCTGATGTGGCCGTGTGTGTAGGTCACTGCTGCGCCGCTGCCAGCTCGAGCAAGAGGGGCCGCCGCTTCCGGGGCTGGTGTCGCGTCCGCCGTCGGTTCCTTTGCCGGGTAGCGCCCGCCGCCGGTGCCGCGACCGGGCAGAGTCATTCTTCATCACCACTTGAAATGAGGCAGCGATCTTGACTGGGGAAATGGACGTGGAACGAGGTCGCGGTCAAGGCGCCGGACGGGTAGAGCTCGCGATGGTGGAGAGGATGTCGCGGCGGTGTGGAGGAGAAATGTCGCGGACGGAAAGAAAAAAAAAAAAAGATCAAACCGGTATCTACATAACCCGTGGCAGGTGGGTAATTTTTTTATCCAAAAGCAGCTGAAAGTAGGGATAATGTGCTTTTAGTTTTGTACTAGAGCAAAATAAACTTTTGACCTAAAACAGTTGTGGCTTTTCACCTCTTTAATTGACTTTTGCAAAAACAAAAACAGCTTCAAAGCCCAATCCAAAGGGACCTACAGTTTGCTACCCACCTTCGAGAATCTGACCTCAGCGTCACCCCTCATTTCCGCACTAACAACCATTCCCTGTCCATTCTCCACCGTACAACGTCCGTCTTTCCGTGTATATTAGATTTATTCAAATTTAGGTTCAGATGTTTTTAAGAAAATTTGGATATTTATAAAAAAATGAGTAACAACAATAGTTGATATAAAATGTTAATGGCCGTAAGCTTTTGATCCTTTTGAAATTGCACCAGTCAATTCTAATTGTGGCTCACTTGTTTTACTTCGTATTTAAAGTTGCACAAGTTAATCCGCACAGGCAGCTACTCCATACTACATCAAGATCAAATAGATTGATTAGGGCAGTCCAATAGGATTTTAATTATAGTTTCTATCTATCTTAAGTATATTAACAGCCTGGCAAGAGAATTAATGCAGAGAGAGTAGAAAATAGAGAAACTGTTTCTCCCTCGAGAAACGGAGTCCACGCTAGATTGGAGACTCGAAGAAACTGGCTCGACCGCGTTGGGGAGACTCTAGTAGTTTTCATCGGCCTCCCTCTGGATCCATTGCTCCGCCGCCGCCGCCGCGCCTGCGCCCCGCTCGCGCCTGCCTACGCGTTCCCGCGTCCGCAATTAGCTCTCCCTCTGCTCTGCCCGGCCAGGGAGGCTAGATCCGTCGAGCGCGAGACCACGACAGACAGTCCTGTGTCGAGGCCAGGGACGGTGGCGGAGGGCACGAGACTGGTGCCGCAGTGGGCGGCATGGGTGGAGTCCATTGAGGCCCTGGTTCTCGATGGTACAGGCGGCCGTGCTGAGCCCTCTATCTTCTTGATCGTTTCTACGGCTTGTAATTGTAATCGGTGGATGCTGTTTTGTTGTGAGAAAAACACTATATCATAACTGATAAACATGACGGATACGATCAAACGAACAGACCGACGGTCGTGGTTGCATCACCAGAGGTCACCTCTCTCTCTCCTCTGTGCGCAGGAGGTCTGCGTCCTGGTTCAAGTTGGACAAATCGTTCTGGTCCATGCTGGTTCTAGAAACATTTTTATATTATTAATACATGGTTCTGGAACATATTTATGGATACTATGATTAATATATGGTTATCTGAAAACATATAGATTCTATATTCTAGAAACATGTTTACTGCCGACTACGAATTGGAGGCTGTATGGTTGCTTGCCACAGCTGATCTACTTCTTTTTGGTGCTGCATTTAAGTTATCCTTTGTATAGACACCACTGTAGAAACTATGGGTTGGAAAGAATAGTTTCTACTAGACATTAATTACTTCCTTTCTCTCTTGAAAACTACATCTAGAAACTATCCATTTGGACTGCCCTTAGGAGCTCAATCAAAAACTTTGATCAATAGAGCTCCTCAATAATCTACATTTATAGTCTTCATTAAAGAAGAAACTGCTTCTATAAAAAATGGATATATGGAAGCCATCAAGCTGCTTTAATTAATCTTTTTTATTTTTTTTTTCACGTCAACTTCTAATTGACACTGGCCCAATCACAAAAGTAGGTGCGGCAAAGCCATGCCCACGTTTCTAGTGGCAGGTGAAACCTGATGGGTCTTCTGTCCTATACAACAGCATGGCGATCGGCCCACGACTGCGTTCTGAGGCCTTGATCGCAAGGTCGTGATGGGCCCTCGGAGTCTTTCAACTTTATACATTAGCAGTTTCACAAAGTTGTTGGGTCATAAGATTCAGACTGCTTTGAATGGAAGAGGGATTGATATTTGATTCCAAGTCAGTATCGGTGGATGTTCTTAATTTCCTTTAAAGTTATGAATCTAATCAAATAATTATTATTGGCATAATTACCTTTGCCAAAAGTTACTCATATCCCCAAATGTAGATATAACAAAATGTCAAAAATAGTGTCACAATTTACGAACATGGAGAAAGACTAGTTGATTACACAAGTTGCATAGCCCTCAGGCCATTCTAGACATATTTCACAATTTTACGACATGATTCAGCATCTAACCGGCCGGTCCATAAATTAAATGACTAGACAGCCGCTCAGCCTTTCCATGCAGCAGAGCCAGCCTTAAGATAACTTCTGCATAAGTTTCAGCTGTGCCAAACAAGGACCTAAAATCCTACACCAAGCACAACTTTAGACTTCTTCATTTGCAGCTAAATATCACAGTGCATTACCATAGGCTATGAAGCTGACATTGTTTTGGTACAGTCCTTCCATGTGGATTGCAAATTATACTACCCCAGGAAGTGGTTGCTCCACATTCGACAAGAAAATAGGAACATACACATTAGCAGCGTTAGTAGCGAATACAGGGGCTAATTGCCAAAATAAGAATCCTACTCTTGTCTTACTGCAGTTTTTGCATATATAGAGCGAGATCTGCATTATATTGAACTTAATACCTCAACTACGAATTTGACGTAGTTACAGCAGCCAAAACAGACTTATTACTTGTAGTGCTTCGACTTTTACTCGGCGGCTTGATCCATAAGTCAAGTTGTTTGAAGATCATTTCTCATTTAAAACCACAATGAAACGATGGACATAGATGGAAGCAATACGAACTGAATGTTGGTAATTTGTGGTGCACCGGTTATTTATCCTTCAAATAACTCTTCCAACATCTCCTGCAAGCCCTCGGGACTGACGATGACTCTTGAAGCGCTGACACCACCATCCTCCAAGACTGAAATGACTTTGTCAACGATGGTTGTCCGTAGCACTTTCCTTAGCTCTGGGTCTGGAACCTTCCCGAGTTTCTGCGCAACGTAGGCCCTGTTTGGTTCTCCAGACGTTTCTAAAATTCCTATCACATCGAATGTTTGGACACATGTATGGAGTATTAAATATAGATTAATTACGCAACGATTTGACAACGGTCTTCTCCGTCTAAAATTGGTTTTGTAATTAATCTATATTTAATGCTCCTTATTAGTATCTAAACATTCGATGTGACATAAATTTTAGTAACGACTAAAGAACCAAAACACCCTTCTCAAACTCCGACAAGAACTTACGCTGTGCTGAGCATCTCGTAAAGAAAAAGCAACAAGGTGAATGACTATGCAAGGGCTTCAGCACCGGCGTCCAGGATACTTGCAGATAACTGTTTATGTAACTGTCCCCATAGGTCTTCTCAAACTCCGACAAGAACTTACGCTGTGCTGAGCATCTCGTAACAACAAGGTGTTTATGTAACCTGTCAGGATACTTGCATCTTGTCAATCTTGCGAGCCAGGGCATCCGTTGGGACATCCAAAAGCAGATTTTGAGAAAGCAGTTGGTGCCACAGGAAGTAGAAATTGTTGGCCAGGAATAGGAACCTGAGGCTCTGATCCGGGAACGACTGTGACACCCTGGTGAGGCTTTCTTCTAGGGAACGGATGATCACGGTGTTCAAGCTGGTGGAAGAACTGGCATTCTTCTCGCTCCGAGATGCTTCATCATATGCAATAGGAGGATCCACTAAATGGTTGTAACTGTAACTAGACGACAGCAGTCAGCACAATGATATAGCTTGCTGCGAACTGAGTGGCAACATGGATGCCAGGCGATCGATGTTGTATAGTCATTGCAATGGTCGTCTGTCGTCAAGGACATGAAGTGAGTCCTGATGCAGTCTCTTGTGTTCCTCATGGCCTCGTCCACCTTGTCCAGCTTCGCTGACAGCAGCCTTATCATCTCCGCACTTATCCTAGCAGCTTCTGCATCGGGTGACGAAGAGGAACTGAGACACGAGTGCCAGAGCTGGACCTGCTCGAAGACCCCGGAGAGAGCGTCACGGACATCTGTCAGTGTCCGGAACTTGTGAGCCGATGCCACTGCACCCTTGTTGCCAGACACGATACCACCATGGCCATGGCCATGGTCGTCGCTGCTAATGCTAGTGCTAGCAGGGCAAATGACGTCGTCTAGTGCAACGACGGCGTCAACGAAAGGCAGCACGAGCAAGAAGGTTGCTGCAATGAATCCTACGAACTCGGAAGCAGGTGGCCACGGCAGAGCTTCCTCCTGCTGCAGCTCCTGGCTACTACACCATCCAGTAAAGCTAGCGACGGACCTGCTGATGGCGTGTAGAGCCAGGACCCAGCTGCGTGCGGTATGCTGGAGTCGCCGTGACACGAAGGTCCTCCCCGCCGACGCGGCGTCCACCTGGGCGAGGTGGAGAACCCAGCTGACCTGCAGCTCCGACAGCCACCTGCCCAGTGCACTGTTGCTGCTGCTGGACGTAGCCGCTCCACATCCACGGGATCCATGAATGATGAGATCCCTCCCGCATCGTCGCCTTCTCTTCCTCCGTGGCGCCGTCGCCGGCGGCGGTGAATGGGAACGGAAGGGACGACGAGGCAGTACGTGCTGGTCGCGTAGGTAGTGGTGTTGGACAGGGTGGTACCTAAAGCGGTGCTGCTGGCTCCACAGTTGTCGTCGACGTATCTGTGATCAACCATTGCATGTTGCAGTGGTGGCTGCACAGGATCGCCGCCGCCGCCGCCTCGGTTGGTGGATGCGACCGCCCACCTCCATGCTCCCCGCCACGCAGCCGCCATGCCTGCCGGCACGGTGAGCTAGCTAGCTAGTTGCAAGCCATTCTCACCGGGCCCGGCCGCCGGAGCCCATATATAGCTGCAACTGCAAGCATTAGAGGGTGAATTTTTTTATTTTAACACTTTTTTAAACTAATCTGAAATCTAACACTGTTTAAATTTTATTTTCAAAACTAATACTTTTGGCTACGCTTATTTCCTGCACCATGCATGGTGGCGCGGTAAGAGGCATGAGGTGGTGACGACCGGGTCGCTGACCGGTGACGTGGCAGGGTCTGCCGCGCCACCGATCTTGGCGCAGCAGCGGCAAGGAGGGGATGATTTGACGCGGCAGTATCACCGGAGATGCCGCCATCATGAAACGATGAAGCACCAGCACCAGCCCCCAGGCCCCGGCCTAGCTAGCTAGGTTACTTGTGCAAGTGCAAGCGTCAGGGTCACCACTAGCACTCTAACACGTTCATCCGTTGCATAGCAGTTTGATGTGTGTGTGTCGTGTACGCACGCGTGGCGGCCAGGCTATGTGACAGCGGGTCGAGTCTAGGGAGGGCCCGTGCCGGACGGCGAGCTGGAGCGTCGTGTAGCGTAGCTAGCCCGCTGGGTGAGGCAGCTAGCTGCTTTATTAGTCTACGACTCTACGTGATCGTGAAGCTTCGATCAATCGCTCGGATTGGGATCGCCGACCAGCCGACCGAGGCTGATTTGATGTGAGCCACGAGATTTATTACCGGCGGGTGATAATCGAACAGGGCCAACGGGATCATCATCATGTAGGTTTGAAAGCCAGTGAGTGCAGGTGCCTGCACAACTCTCAATCTGTGCTGATCGGACACTGTGTTCTCATGCGTGTGCGTATCCTAATTGTTTTAGAAAAAAATTAAAAAAAGGTACAAACATCTGGGTTTTAATTCTAGTGGGTAGCATCCCACTAGACTATCGTACCACTAGACCATACACCCATTCACTATAGTATAGTTTTTCCACTGTAGAAAATGTGTGGGCAGTTTGAGCCTAACCAACTTTACTCGTAGGATGGTCGTGGACAGGACTTTTCTAGGCTGAAAACAACTCCCCTTTTTTCAACTTGGTGGTTTGGTATTTTCGGGCTTGCCAGGTTTACCGGGCTGGGCTACTGCGACAAGCCTGCTAGAGAGCCCCTCAATCTCTTTTTTGCGTGTGTACATCCCCTCAATCACTTGTGTACTCCATAGCACTCAAGCACTATGATCCGTTGATCCATCAGGGACAAGCACAACTGAGGCATACAATATTGATTGCCTCACATAAAAATTATCATTCACGTAGGATTAGATGCACTCAAGCTATTGTGTTTTCTAACCCAAGGTTTAAGTATGTAGCCTCACCATAAAAAAAAAGTGCACGTGACGACCTGCAAAAAGCACGGTTTAGAAACATGGCACATCTAGGCCTCCATCTGGTTGCCATCAACTGCACCTACAGCCATAGCTACACTGCTTCAACATTTGTAATTTATGAAAATTTGAATGGCCATATCTTCTAAGCAGTTTATCATTTTTGTGATCGGTGTATACTATAATATCCCTTCCAATTAAATTTATAAAACAAAACCCATATTGACTATATTTTTACACTAAAAAAAGTTGCACATGGGCCTGACATTTGAAAACTTTGTTAAAACATATCCTTGTTGGATCTCATTTTGTTTGGCACATTATTTCCAACAATAATCTTTAAACGATTTATAAAACGGACTTTTGGTTTGTGAGATATTGCATTTTGAAAGTCTGAGAAAATCCACTGTTAAGTGACGCGAGGGGAGAGAGAGGTGAGAGAAATGTGACAGAGACGAGATGCTGCTATTTGGTGAGTGGTGAGAGGAGAGATGCTACTACACTCCACCGCGCTGCTGCCTTCTGCTGCAGTGTGCAGGCTTAAATTCACGCACACAGCAAACTGCTATGCGACGGATGAACTGCTAGAGTGCTACTGGTGAGCCTGACGCTTGCACTTGCACAAGTAACCTAGCTAGCTAGGTCGGGGCCCGGGGGCTGGTGCTGGTGGTGGTGCCTTGTCGTTTCATGATGGTGATCTTCGGTGATACTGTAGCGTCAAATCATCCCTTCTTTGCGCGCCATGCGCCGTGGCGCGTCATTGTCGCGTCAAGATCGGTGGCGCGACAGACTCTGCCACATCACCGGTCAGCGACCCGGTCGTCGCCACGTCATGCCTCTTGCCGTGCCACCATGCATGACGCGGCACAGGCGTTTTACCGCGCCAGAAAATAGGCGCGGCAAAAAGTGTTAGTTTTGAAAATAAAATTTAAACATAGTTAGATTTCAAATTAGTTTAAAAAAGTGTTAAAAATAAAAAAAAAATCTAGAGGGTCACGTACTCTGTACTCATGCGCATCGCCAACGCGTTACTTTTTTTTGACTTAGACCTGGCGAGGCCTGCGGCAGTGCGCGCCTTTGCAACAGCAACGCGTTGATGAGGACTGGAGTGTGTTGAGTGTTAAACTGGCACTGCTGGCAGTTTGGCACCGACAAGACCTCAGTACCTCACCTGAACGGAATTGCATTCTACCGGAACTGCTACGCATATTAAGGAGGTATTCACTTCATATTAACGAGGTACTCGCTCCATCTCAAACTAAATGAGCTTCTAGGGTTGTCCTAAGTCAAACTATTTTAAATTAAATTAAATTGATAGAAAATAGCACCACCAAATTAGTATCGTGAAATACATCATGAAGTATGTTGTAACGGTAAGACCGAGGCTTTATATTGGATCGAGATTCCCAATCCCTTTCACAAAGGTAGGGCCTTTTACAGATCCAAAGAATATCCTTTGTCTGCTACAGAACCTGGAATCTCTGATATTACAATCATGGTACAATGGGATTTATCCTGCCATACAGTTGTGGGCCTTCATTGGCCATAATGAGCAATTCGTACATGGACCTTATTCGCTCGTTCGAAGCCTCGACCTTTTGTAGACTCTGCCCAAGGCCATTGTTGCAGGACCTCCAAGCAAATTCCCTAGCCTTTGAGCAGATATGTGGGACATTCAGGCGAAACCTGCCATTCGAGGCCCCTGGGAGCCTTCATCAACCTTCAGAGGGACTTCGGGACCTTTGGGCTAGGCTTGCTATCTGCCTTCTAGCTCTAGGTAAAAACAGTCACACAAGTGAAGTAGGTTAGGTTGCTCGGGGCCTTCGAGGGGACTCCCCCAACAAAGTATATTGTGATAATGTACTTTTCTGATGTTATAGATGTTGTTACCTTTTGCTATAAAGTTAGTTAAACTTAAGATAGTTTGACTTAAGCTAATTCTAGAAATTGATTTATTTTGAGATGGAGTATTGTATGATGACTAGGGTCATTACTTGTAGTGAGGAGATTATGAGTATCATTAGATTAGCTTAACCTCTTTGTAAGTTGAAACTAATAAGGAAGTTTGTGCAAATAGCGTAGTAGGTACCTCTTTTCTTTTATTATATAACATTTGGATTTAAAAAAATGTAAATAATTTTCTTTATTTGTTTGATTATATTAGTCATCTCTTTATTTTCACCCCATCTGTCTCTTCATAACTCTTGCAACCACCCATGAGCCAAAGATATCAATTGCTTCTATCTCTCTCAACTCATTTTTGAGCTTATATTGAGATTTGAGTTAGCGAGATTGAGCGAGAAAAGCATGTGTGATTCCGCAAGCAAGATTTTCATCCTTTAAGCACTTGTGGTACTAGCCAGTGACCTGTTTTCAATTTTTTACTTTTGAATTCTTGAATCCTAGCCAGCTATGTGTTGCCCATCAAAGCACCCACCTCTCTTGTGGAGGTGCTCCGAGAAGTTTGTATTAACCAATTTGATTTTAGTGGATTTGCCGGGTTGACCTTTGTGGTTCTTGACAAGAGGAGGAGTTGGGAAAGACTCAAGGACCTTTGTGGTCTCCTCAACATGGACGTAAGTACTCTTTTGTGGTGTGAGAAATCTTATGGATTATGTTCAACTCGTCTCCCTACACGAGTGGTACAACTAGATTTAAAGTTCATTGGTCAGATTCGTAGATCTAGCAACTTTCCTCTTTTGAGGGTATCCGAATTTGGTCCTCACTGAAATTTCTAGACACGACTGGTAATTCCGATAGAGACTGGAATTTTCGGTACCTGGTATTTGATCCGCTACGAAAGTTTGTGAATGTTCAGGTTTAGCCTATTGAACCCTCCCTAGCCATTGTCGATCCTTTTAGAGTCGGTGTTATTGGAAGTTGTTCGTTGGCATAGTCCAATTACCGTGCAATCAGGTTGCACTCTACAGAAGCTCTAATTTGCATCCACGCGTATTGCATTCATTGATAGCTACATAGCTAGATTAGATTATAATAGTTTTTTCTTATCGTGTTGGATATAAACTACATTGAATTATTTATTAATTGCATTTTACATGGATACTCTATTTTTCATCAGTAATTAAATCGTCGAAAATCTAACATTGCATTTTGTTTTTCCAATTAATGTTGTAATTTCTAGCTCTTGTATTTGACATAGATACCCTATTTATTCCTAGTCGTTGGATTATTGTAAAACACACCAGTATATTTTTTATTAATGTCAAAATCTCTAAGCCTTGTGTTTGACATGGATACTCTATTTATTGCCGATCGTTAGATCATCGTAAAATCTAACTATGCATTTTTTCTCTTCTCCGATTAATCTCGTTGTATCTTGATCCTCTTGATAAACATGGGGTTCTTTTTAACAGTGTTGTGAGCAAACTAATATAGATGAGATATCAATATCTTTTCATGCTAAGCAGCGTAATCAGGGTATCGCCACAGCTACACGAATCAAATATTTGCCAGAGGCATTCACACTGTCATTGTGCTGAAGCCTGAACATGTGCAAGCACAGAAGGCTGGCCATGTTCATGTTCCACGAGCTCTGGTCCCAAATCCAAAATGGGTTGTCTATTAAAATTAAAACTTATATTTATTCAGGATTTTAATTATTCTAATTAC